TTGCAATATTTATCTTTTAGGACAAACTTCCTGGCAGTTTCTTTGTCTACTTATGACTTTTCTAATTATATCCAAATTGCCCAAATGTCAGGAGATGGATCTGAAGTGGGAAATGGCTCCTAACCAGAGCTGAGGATGCCACTGCTGCATGTTAACGTCCCCATTTTCCACACCACTGGACGTGTGAAGGGACAGTTTGTGTCCATTCACACAAGTCAACCAATTGTTTTGCCTTCAAAAGCCTTTCTAACTCGGCTTACTCTTTTTCAGACACACAAACTTCCTCTCATGAAAGTTAGTTTTTATAGTTTTTTGTTCCGACTCCATCCACTCATGTCCTTAAAGCTGTTAAAATATTCAGCTAATTAAGCATCACTTCCTCCGAGTCGAACTGACTTTAGAAAAGGACTTTCTTCACTTGTGTGACATTATCTCTTCAGGAGACGGGAGGCTGGGTTAGCAGGCGCTGAACCGCGTCGGATTCTCGGCCACGCTCGTCACCACGAAGAAACCACACGCTGTTCACTTGCAGATGGTGCGCGCACACACACCCGAGCCAGAGAAGAGCGGCCAAACCAACAGCGAGGCTTCCAGATACTGAATCCATCTCAGAAGTGTTCAGAGTGACACGTCCCATCCCACTCACTGGATTTAAAGTGTAGAGCTAATCTTTTTTTAGCAGTGGGATGTTAATGGAGCTGCTGGAAACAGAAACTGAGCGGAAGTACAAATGCTTCCATGTTAACTGATTCAGGATAAGCTTTTATTGCTGCAAAAATAAGGATCATATTGAATTGATGATTAGATGTGGCAGCAAGGAGTTTGAAAGAAATGTAAGTCATTTCTATAATTCATCTTTTTACTAGGCTGCACAGTGACGCAGTGGTTAGAGCTGTTGTCTTGCAGCAAGAAGGTCCTGGGTTCGCTTCCCGGCCTGGGATCTTTCTGCATGGAGTTTGCATGTTCTCCCTGTGCATACGTTCTCTCCGGGTACTCCGGCTTCCTCCCACAGTCCAAAAGCATGACTGTTAGGTTAATTGGTCTGTCTAAATTGTCCTTAGGTGTGTGTGTTTGCATGATTGTTTGTCCTGTGTGTCTCTGTGTTGCCCTGCGATGGACTGGCTCTCTGTCCAGGGTGTACCCCGCCTGATTGCCCGTTGACCGCTGGAGATAGGCACCCCACCCCCACCCCACATGGATGGATCTTATTACTAAATGGGATATACGGTTAATTTTACTCAAGTTCTAATAGTTCTGTGTTCGATACAAAATATGTTTATGAAGGCTTTTTTGCACTAAATCCTTTTCACATAAAATTATTTTAGCAGTTTTATTCTCGACAGTTTCAGTGCCTTCCAAAATGAGCCATTTCATGCCTCTGTTGCTTCAAGCAAACAAGCTAAAGCTGGCCATGCCCAGCCATCTTCCGCTGCTATAAGCTGAGAAGCTCCAGTATCCTGGAGAGGCTAAGAATTGAGACGCTGCTCTATTTCTTTCTTGCAGTTAAGAGGTGTTTTTATGCTACTTTCCCCGTTTGTGACATCACAAACAAGCACTTTTTAAAACAGGTTTTACGCACATAATTCCTAATACCAAATCCTGATAGAAAACGAAGGGACAGGTTCTTTTTTTCATGTTTGGAGTGTTTATAGAGGCAGTGAGACCCACATGGCAGCACAAAAGAATGAAAACGGTCAGTTTTGTGTAATATGTTCCCTTTAAGTCTCAAATAACCTGAATTGAGGTCAAGCAATTAGTAAAAGCTTTCCGTGCAAACTTGTGAAAAAGCTATTTTGTTTTTAATTAATTAAGAAACAAATACTGTTTTTCTGCAGAACTTTTGACCTAAGGGTAAATTCCACTTATTTTAGCTACAAGTTTTCTGTTTTGGTTCTTCTAATTTAATTTAGCTCAGCATAAAGATTAATGTGTTCTTTTAGCCATTGCCCATTTTTGCCCAATTTGGAGTTCAGTTAACTTAAAAAATTACCTTTTTTAGTTTGATATTGGTCATAAAAATATGAGATCTTCAAAGTTTATTATCTCAACAAGGATAAAGGCAAATTTTTACTGAAACATTTAGAAAAGGAAACAGGTTATAGATTAAACCTGCTGCTTCCAATACTTAAAGATCCATTTAATCTGCATCAGAACTGATCTGAGTCGAGTCTTGTTTGGCAGTAGCAGCAGTCGCATGTTTTAGTCATCATCGTGGAGCAAGATCCTTGACAGTTTCGTTCTGTATAATTAACATAAACCAAGAAGCCACAGTGAGGTCAGTGAGGCACCAGGCCAGGTCTGACTTCACATCTCCCAAAGTTAGTCCTCCTCTCCGGTCTGGCAGAGGCTCGCATTTCTGGAGATGTAATGATCCTTCTTAGTACAACTCAGTTATTTCTTAGGAGAGTTGGTGAAGTGGAACTGATCCCAACGTGGGTGGTGAAATTGAGAGGAAAAGTTGCCGTCTACCTATGCCAAAATGTACATTTTAAGTCGTTTTCCGTTTGAAGAAAACGAAATCAACTTTTCCTGGAAGCTGAGATCAGTTTGGTGAAAGAAAAATTCTAACTTGCAGTTTGAAGACTTCAGAGAAGGGTTGAAATGGAAAAGAAAAGTCGAATTCATGAGAACGAAATAGCTGCCTCCTTGAACTTTAAAGAACCTTAATTTCAAAGGTAAAAGTAGTAAATTTATGTGGGGAAAATGTTATTTCCGCAGGGGCAGGTGGGGTTATTTCCAAACAAAAACAGTAGGGTCTATGTTTAACTCTCAGAACTCTGTTTGTAGTTTTCATATCAGCTGATAGGAGAAAACATCTTTTCTGGGGTGTATTTTGTACTTTGTGCTTACACACAGCTACATTTATCGGCCATTTTATTGGGTACACCTTGCTAGTACCAGGTTGGACCCACTTTTGACTTCAGAACTAATCCTTCGTGGCATAGATTCAACAATGTACTAGAAACATTCCTCAGAGACGTTGGTCCATGTTGGCATGATAGCATCACACAGTTGCTGCAGATTTGTCGACTTCACATCCATGATGTGAATCTCCCGTTCCACCACATCCCAAAGGTGCTCTGTTGGATTGAAATCTGGTGACTGTGGAGGCCATTTGAGTACAGTGAACTCATGTTCAAGAAACCAGTCTGAGATGATAGGAGGTTTATGACATGATGCATTATCCTGTTGGAAGTAGCCATCAGATGGGTGAACTGTGGTCATAAAGGAATGGGCGTGGTCAGCAACAATATTCAGGGAGGCTGTGGTGTTGCAACCATGATCAGTTAGTACTAAGGGGCCCAAAGTATGCCAAGAAAATGCCCCCACACCATTAGCTTGAACCATTTTGGCCATTCTCTGACCTCTGGCATCAACAAGACATTTTCGCCCACAGAACTGCCGTTCACTGGATGTTTCCCCTGTTTTGTACCATTCTCTGTAAATCCTAGAGATGTTTGTGCGTGACGATACCAGAAGATCAGCAGTTTCTGTAAAACTCAGACCAGCCCGTCTAGCACCAACAACCATGCCACGTTCAAAGTCACTTAAACCACCTTTCTTCCCCGTTCTGAAGCTCAGTTTGAACAGCAGCGGATCGTCTTGACCATGTCAACATGCCTGAATGCATTGAGTTGCCACTATGTGATTGGCTGGTTAGTAATTTGCGTTAAGGAGCAGTTGGACAGGCGCACCCAATAAAGTGAGTGTAGTTATTCTACACAATCTGAGCGTGTACCTTCAGATTTGTAAATTTTGGCATATTGGGGCAACAGAAGCTCTGAAGGTAGAGCGGGTTGTCTAATAATTGAAACGTTGTAGGTTCAATCCCAGCACCCACCAGAGCACCCTTTATTAGATAAAGGTTTTTATTATTGATGAGATTTTTGTTTTAATTCAGTTAAACTTTTCTCTCAGACACCAGTAAAGGGTCTCATTTTCTAACAACAGTGTTACGACTTTAGGACGTGATCTAAATTTTATTGAATCTTTCATGAAAGACGGTTGAACTATGCAGATGCACTTCCTGAAGTAAAAAAATTTAAGATGCAACTTTGTACTGGAGGTTTTTTTCCTTGTTCTTATCAGATTGTGTCCAAACAGCCTGAGCGGTTGATCAGGTTGTTTTGTTGCCGTTTACTGAACTCTGTTTTCTTTGAAACATTTGAGGACATTATCTTTGTTTGTCCTGAAGGTGTGAGACAACCTGCCTCCTTCCTGGATAAACTTGTTTGTTGTGTTTGCCCGGTCAGATCCATCTTAACTCCAGTTAAGCTCGGTTTCAACCGGGGTCGGGCCATGCTCGATAACACCTTCTTATCTCTGTCTAAATTACAACAACGAGCCCGCTTCACTGCAAGGAGCTTCAGGAGTGCATACCAAACATACCGTCGTGCTCCCCCCCGTCCTCGCCGTGAGAGACTCGGCCAGGTTTGATAAACACTGACAGTTGAGGCGAGGTATTTCCGTGACTGACGGTTATTGACTTGGCGATGTGGTGATTTGTTTCTGCACTGAGGCACAATTGATTAGCCATAAGGAAACTCAGGAGACGTTATTGGATTGCTATTCAGAAAGATTGAGTGTCAGTCTCCATCTGATTCCAAATCTCATCCATCTCCCTATCACTTCATGACTTTTGCTTTTCAGAATATATTAGTCATTTTCAATAATAACCGGCTGATGCGGAGGCGTCCCCTGTCCTTCATTTGATATTCCAAATTCATGGCTAAATAATGATGGATCCTCAGGGTTTGTCTTGTTCACCTGTCAGCCTTTTCCCTCTTTGTTTAACAGGACCTGTTTTCCTTCCTTCCCGTGTGCAATGGAATTGAGAAGGAATTCCACATGCTGACTGCATGAAAACCTGTTTATTTTACACGACTCTTTGAAGATAGGTTTTTCTAGTGTAAGTTTGGTTTTTTTTTTTTTTTGTTTGTTTTTTTTTTGTTTGTTTTCTCTTGACGGACTTTTGAGGTCAAGCTCTTCTTCAACAACACCTAACAGAAGGGTGGGAAGTTTAGAATTCAAGGATGTCCAGTGTTCGGTTAATTTACATATAAAACAACTAAAACAATCATATTTTTGCAGTTTCTTAAAAAAAATCACCTCCAGCATGTTTAGACATGCTGATTCCATCATTTTTCCAAAGCTGTTCTGTGATTTTAGGTGTTTGATTACAGATCGCTGAGCCAACTTGTGATTTCAGGTCTATTCTGGGGGTGGGTGATATGGTGTAGCGACATTAGCTCATCAAGGATTTGAAAGTGCTGACAATGTACCAAAGCAGAGAGATCACAGAACCATCTCTTTGTTTATAATAGAAAGATTGAAACTGTTTCTACCCGGACCGTTTTAGATGTGACACTCTGAGCCTCTTTTGTGTTTATTTCTTAAAGTAGAATTAGTAGCAATATGAATGTGTCTACTTGATGATGAGCTTTAGCTTTAGCCTGTTAGCATAGTGCCAGCTTTTCTTTACTAGCAAATATTAGGGGCAGCAGTAGCTCAGGAGGTAGAGCGGGCTGTCCAGTAATCAGAATGTTGCAGGTTTGATCCTGGCTCCCACCAGAGAATGCTGCTGTTGTGTTCTTGAGCAAGACACTTAACCCACCTGGCCTGCTGGTGGTGGTCGGAGGGACTGGTGGCGCCAGTGTTCAGCAGGCCTCGCCTCTGTCAGTGCGCCCCAGGGCAGCTGTGACTACATCGTAGCTCAACCCCACCAGTGTGTGAATGGGTGAATGACTGATTGTGTTGTGAAGTGCCTTGGGTGTTTTTGAACCCTCACCCCTTCTTTCCACAGGAGCCGTCAGCAGCACGTTACTGCAGCAGCACGTCTTGCTCACGTAAGCTGCTGCTTGGCCCTTCCCACGAGACGCGAAGCAGCAGGGGAGCAGCTGTCACCGACAGAGAACGAAGTCACACGAGTGACTTCGTCAGTAAACACAACAACAAGCAGGAGAAAACTACAACATGGCTCCAAAAGGTTTGTGTTTTATGTTCTGTCCGTTTTATAATCGCCAATACGGACCTGAAAAACAAAGGAGACCGCTAGCTAGGTGATATCTTCTCACAGGGCCGCAGAGTTAGTAACTTTTTTTAAAAGTAAAGCAACCGGAAGGCACTACGTTTCTTTATTCTGAAAATCTCGGGAGCTTCGCTCCATTTCCGCGTCCGATTTTCTGTCTTTCCTTCCCCAAAAATGTCGAACTTGACTCGTTTCAGAGGCGTAGCGTGTAGAAAATAGAACCGGCGCGTAAAGGCCGCGACGTGCTGCTCCTGAGACGCGGCCGACTCGCGCTGCTGACGGCTCCGGTGGAAAAGGTTCTGTTGACCACAGCAGTTCCTATCAGCAGCTATGACGTGCTGCTGCAGTAACGTGCTGCTGACGGCTCCGGTGGAGAGAAAGGGTCAGAAGGCGCTATACAAATACAGGCCATTTACCAATAGCGTAAGGCAGGAAATTAGTAGTTACAGCTAGTTCAAATCAAATCAAACTTTATTTACAAAGCACTTTTCATGCACAGGAAGCAACACAACATGCTTAACAGATTAAAATGACCCATATAACCCACATTCCCTCCGTTTCCCACACTTAAAACAATTATGACAGTTTCACCCCAATCCACAAACCATTCCCAGGCACACACACACACACTCGTACACATAACACAGTAAAAGACCACAGTAAACACTAGGCTGAGCTCAGATTGGACAGGTGATGAAAGACACGCCATCAAGGGAGCCATCTGCCTCGGCAGCAGCAGATCCACGGCAGCAGCCAAGACACCAATCCAGGGCGCCCTGGGAGGGAGGGTGGCAACCCCCACCACTAGCTGGGCACTGCCGAAGGAGCGCCCCAGCCGCCGCCACCGACCACCGGTCCTGAGGCAGAGGGATCCACCGAGGAAACACTGCAAGGTTTAAAATATGTAACATGTAAAATCACAAGAGCTAATACGGATAGTAAAATATACAATAAAATATGATTATAGAAATAAAACATCATCAATGTGTAACACAACGGTAATTAAAATAGATAAATAAGTAAAACAAGCTATGTAATAAATAGTAATCAGTTAAAAGCTAAACTAAAAAGGTGGGTCTTGAGCCTATTCTTAAAAACATGAACGTTCTCTGCGACCCTGACATCCTACGGCAGCCCGTTCCAGAGGCGAGGGCCGTAATAACTAAAAGACGCCTCACCGTGAGTGTGAGTCCTGACTTTAGGAATGACAAGGAGACAGCTGCCAGAGGAGCGCAGGGACCACGAGGGTTTATATGGTAAAAGCGGTTGCGAGAGATAAGACGAGCCAATACCATTAAGACACTTAAAAACCATTAAAGTATCTTAGTTGTCTTGTATCACTTAGGGCTGCGTTTTAACTAAGGGCATCTTTGTGTTTGTAGTGTTCAGTAACAGATTTCTTTTAAATTATATTAGTAATGTGATTATACTATGAAAAAGAGATTATTGTGTTTTGCCAGGTCTCCCACCCCTAGTTGATTCTTAAATTTGAAATCTACTTAATCTGTTTCAGAATTAGTCACAACTCCAAGTAAACAACTAACCAGGATGTTCAAAATAAGTTTACTAAAATCAAACATAACTCCGTCTCAAATCCAGATGTGTTTAAGTACGCTTTTACTTCCACTCAGGTGGGATCGGCAGGAAATCAAGCTAAGAGTTGAAAGTTGCCCCAGGAAATGTCAGCGCACCATAAAAGGATTACGACTGATACAAATGTAGGATTTTTATCCAAACCTCTAAATAGATGCATATTTCTCACGCTCAAAACGTGAGTTGGCAAACCTGGTAGTGCTTTTGTAAAGGCTAATTTCACTCCTGAGTATGTATACGCTATATCCTCTCAGAATGTCTGTAATTCCTACACTAGCTGGACTCTGGCTCAATGTTTATTGAAGAATTGGGCTGAACTTAGTTCCCAAATGTGAGGTAAAGTGGCATTTTAGCTCTTTTAACAACCTTGGTTTAGAGCTAACTAGCCAATAGCTTGTTAGCCACGGCTGTAGCGCATTACTGCAGTTATAAAACAACTTCCCTTAATGTTCATAGTGGTTCATAAAACTATTTTATAAACCTTTAGAGCCCTTTTATGGTCATATTATAAGTTTCTTTACATGTAAATGTTTATTTAAGTGGCAGTTAGCAGCACAGCTAGCTATATTGGACAGCAATGGGAGAGTTTACAAAAACAAACCAATAAAAATCTTCGAAAACGGAGTTGAATCTCGTTAGATCAGATTTGCTGATACCTATTTTTACCAATTGGTAGTTAGTTTTGTGTACCATGTTTGGGAATGGTGTATTCAGGGTTTCCCCATCCAATCCCTAGATTGGATTTATGGAGTTTTAGATTAAAGCTGGTCAAGCTAAGTGTTTTCTGATTCCAGATTCAAGATGATGCCACTCTGTTGGTGTTGCAATCAAAATCCAGATCACAGTTGTGTGATTTTAGCAAAAACATCAAATAAAGCATTCAACTCCTCATGCATGAAAAATAGTTATAATGGGCACATTCAGAACTAGTATGGAGTCATATCCAGTTTGCGTGATTTTTATTTATTTAATCTGTTCCCCAACCTGGATGTGGTCTATAGAGCTCCGGGAGTTGACGTCACTTCTCCCGGCATGCAACAGTTCAAATCGAAACGGCGCCATATTGGCATGCAGAAGCCGGCAGCTGGACTATTTGTTATTGTCAGAAAACTCAATCAAACGGGAAATATGGTAGATTCCTGTTGTGCCCCAGGATGCAGAACAGACGCAGACGACATAAGGAATGAGCCATCTACAGGATTCCCCAAGATCCGGAGCGCCGCAAACGTTGGATCATTGTAATAAAACGCGCTAGTGACCGGGCGAAAATGAAGCTGTGGGATCCCGAGAGGAAAGGTTTTCGCTTATGCAGCGACCGCTTCATATCAGGTACTTAAACCAACGTTTCCTCAACTGTGTATGGTATTTATTTTAAATGCTTTTATTACGATTCTTAGTGGGCTTCCTAAACTTATTTTGGCGTGGCTTTTTCTGTCTTATTACTCATAGCAGCAAGTAAACATCACGTAAAACGTTGCCTCGTGAGTTCTGCGTGCTGCCGTTTCCGTGTTTTATGATCACAGCAATTAACCGGCTAAGCTGTATTTAATTTTTAAGCAATGGTTGATCAATTGTCAGATCACACACCGAGACTACTTACGTGTAAATCTGTTATTTGTCCGTCCATCCATCCATTTTCATCCGCGTATCCGGAGTCGGGTTGCGGGGGCAGTAGCGTGACTTCCCTCTCCCCAGCCGCCGGAGCCAGCTCCTCCGGGTAAATCCCAAGGGGTTCCCCGGTCAGGTCCGGTGTTGTGCCGGTAAGAAGCCCGCTCCGACAGCTTCTGGCGTCGGAGCGGGCAGTAGAGTCGAGAGTCCCAGACCTTCTCCCCAGCTCCTCCGGCCGGGGAAATCCCAAGGGGTTCCCCCGGCCAGGTCCGGTGTTGTGCCGGTAAGAAGTCCGCTCCGACATCTTCTGGCGTTTTTAAAAAGTATCCCAGGGGCACGGTAAGGGTCGGAGATGTTTAGTCTATTTAATTTCTGACTATATAAAACGATTTCTTCTGTTTTAAAGTGTGAAGTAAACTCAGATGAAGTAAAATCCAAGCGGATCCCGTTCATGTTCATGGTTACATCCGTGTTTGTTTACCTTTTTTGCATGCCAAAATGGCGTCCACTAACTGAGAGTCACGTGGGGTCCGGAGCTCTATAGTGCCATAAAATATAGTTAATTGTAGAAAAGGAGGAGTATCATGACTGCTGAGGATAACTGACCAAATCAGAATTTTTTATTATTTATTGTGTTTTTCTAACTATTCCTGACATTTTTATTACCAACGAAAAGGCCAGTTTTTGCATATTGTTTGCACACGTTCTGGTGTTTCTCTTTGGAAGCCATGTTTTACTCCATCTCAGGTCAAGGAGACCAGGATCCGGTCCGTTTTGGATCCACTGGTGCTGATCAAGGTCAGGCTGTTTGATTCTCAATGGAGTAAATGTCATTTAAACGTGCATGCGTGTGCATGAGGACATGGGGCGTTACCCACATGACAGATGTTACCTTTGGGGTCAGAAGGCCAATTAGGTTTCTTCTAATGGGGCCAAGTCCTTAGCTGTTCGCGGCACAAACACACAGAGAATAAATTGATCAGATTACCATGGTAATGTGAATGCAGCCGGTTAAACCACATTAAGGAGCCTCTTTGCCTTTTTTTCTAATTTTGCTCATGGATCCTTTCCACTTGTTTATGTCCCAAGTTTCCTCTTTGTTCTTCCAGTTTCTCCCACAGCAGATGCAGAGCAAATCTCCTCCGTGGCTTCTTACATCTCTAACTTTATATTCCCATCTGTCCGCTCTTGCTCGCTCGCTCGCCGTCTTCATCTCTCGCCGTTTAATTTGAGTTACTGCCACTTTATTCCATCTGAAATAAAGTGTCTCAAGTCACACTTTTTTATAGTCTAACTTGATTTTTCTCCTGATCAAATCCCGGTTCTATTTTATGGGACAGCTCATATCAGCCAATCAGAAGAAAACAGAAAAAGGTGGAAGTTATTTTTGCTTCATCGTGCTGACACTGAATTCTAAATGTCAAGAAAAACGTTGAAAGAAGGCGAGCATGGCTGTGCTCTTGGACCTGACTGTATTTTTTTTCTGTTTATTATTAATGTTATGATTAAAGGGACATTATGGAAGTTTGACAGCCAAAACATGTATAGAAAAATAAATGTCTTCTTCATACATTCTCCTGCAATGCCCTGGTCCTGTAGAATGAGCCCTGGCATTTTTACTGTGATTACCTGTTTTTCTGTAAATTCACAGAAAAAGAGAGCTGCTCGGGTCGAGCAGGCTGCTTCATGCATGTTCACCAGGCCCCCACAATGCAGCTCTGAAATTGAGTCAAACCCGGAAGTGAAATAAATTGCAGTTCCACCCTCATCCGCTGGGGGCTGGTATCAGAAGCGAGTAAATCCTCGTTGACTCCCATGTTAAAAATACCAATTTCACAGCAGAAATAAACATGTTTACAGCCTGGTACCAAAACATGTTTTTTGTTTAAATTATCTAGTTTACACTCATGACAACTCTGAGGGGGGTGACTTTTTTTCTCACTCTTCTGTTTAAGTGTATTAAAAGCCTAAAATTCTGTATAATTAATGAGCATCAGACCCACGAAGTTAGTTAGTTAGCAGAGCTAGCTCCGTGGAAAGGCCTCAGTAGAGCCTCGGTCTGGCCTGGAAACTGCTCTGGGATTTTGAGTCTCTGTGTTTGTGCGCTCTTGTTTGGATATTTTTTGTGCAATTGTTGGACAAAATGACTTGCTGTGCCATTAATTGCACCAATAGAGCATCCAAGGAGTCTCCACTTCATTTTTTTCGGTAAGTAAAATTATATTTATGTATTTTAGGTCACTGCCGAGCTGAGCTTAGATTTTAACATGTACTGTTTAACCATGAAATTTAAATGTAATAGGGTAAAACCCAGTGCATTTAACATAATGTTGCACTTTAGAAAATGGGTTGAAATATAACATGTTGGTGGAGCTGAGTTCCGACTATCGGCTTGTGGAGCTCTCGGGAGACCGATGTTTCCCACCCTTATCCCCTCCCTGCAGCCCGGTCAATCTCTGTCTGATTTCTGCTTCTGTTTGTTGTACGCTGGCTGACGGCTGGTTCTCCCAGCAGCTCTGCGCTTCTGTTAGCTGCGTGGGCTGACGGCTGGTTCTTATGGCAAGCCAGAACCGCCAAAGTACGCCACTTCTCCCCGCAGCTCGGCACATCTCTGTCTGATCGCGCCTTCTGTGTGCTGCGCGGGCTGTCGGCTTGTGGAGCTCTGGGATGGAAACCTTTCCACCCGGTTCTCCCCAGCGGCAGCTCTGCACATCTCACATCGCAGCGGCGCTTGTCTGCTGTGCGGCTGCCGGCTTGTGGAGGTCTCGGAGACCTCTGTGTTCCACCCGGTTTTACCCAGCGGTTAGCCCGGCGTATCTCTGACTCAGAAGCTCTGGTGTTGTGCACAGTTAACTCCGGTTGTAGCTAGGTTGCTACCTCCGTTAGCTTAGCTCCCACCTCCGCATTAGCTTTGGGTTAGCTTCAGGTTAGCTTGTAGCTAGTTCAACCGGGTGTCGTCAGTCGATCCCAGCCTTACAGCCCCACCCTCAGCTCCTCCTCTCTTCCCTTTTATGGAATTGTCTGGGCTTGACGGAACCTGTGACACGGTCAAAATGGCGGTGGTGGCCACCTCCCATTTTAGCAGAAAAACTTGTTATTGGAGCCTACGGAAACCCATTGTCCATATATTTATGTTGATGGTGTTCACGCTCAGGCATAGCCCGTAGCATTTGCTATCAGTAGCTTTAGCAGCAGAGAGAGAGACAGTGCCTCTATGTTGCTGTTCCTAACGCCTAGTGACAAACCTAGCTACATTTCTGAGGACCCTTAGCTACTTTCTGTAGAACTTTCTTCTAGATATTTCCTGCAAATTAGCAACAAAATAGCCATTTTCGCTCCGAACCGTTCTTTGGTTTGACGTTGTTTCAGGTGTCATCAAGGACATAAAAGTTACAGATGCTACAAATGTTACTGGTGTGTTGCTTATGGAGCTAGGATTGGGACAATAATCGGCGTAACTTGTACCAAGTTTTGTAACTTTGAACATGTTTCATCACATGTAACTTTGGATTCGTAACTTGTAACTTTAGTTTTCTAACTTGTAATTCTCAATTTGTACTTGTATTTCTTGTTTTGTAACAGGAAATTTTCATTTTGTACATGTACTTTTTATTTTGTAAAATCAAACTTTTATTTTGTACATTTATTACTCATTTTGTAACATCAAACATTCATTCAGAAACATGAAACTTTCGTTTTGTAACTAGCAGACTTCCAAATTGAAAAAATCAAGGTACAAGTTTGAAATCAAAACTCTCAAAACACACATTTCATTCTACAGGTACAAACCTCAAATCTACAGTTACAGATCTTTTTGTCTAGATTCTAGCGTCAGTGGGAGGAACTTGGGTGGAACCAATGAGAGCACGAGTCTTAGCTACCAATCACGTTTCTCGAATTCCTGTTCAATCATTGGGAGAGGAGGGCAGGCTTCTGTCAGAGCTGTAAGAGAGTTACGGAATGCGGGAGTCACGTGGTTCATGTAGCTTCGAATAGTTCCAAACAGCCCCGCTGCTGCATTGACTGCAGTTCATTTTCGGTGTTTCGGAAGGATTTTCTCCGGTAAGTTGATGAAATGTCATCATTTTGTTGCATTGTGAAGCATTAGCTAACCGCTTCGTACCAAAATAAGCCAACGATGATATTTTATGTTGCCAGTTTTAGCTAGATAACCTTTAATGAGCTAACTGTGTGCAGCTTGTTGGTTGTGAGCAGGAGGACGAGCTGTAGACGGGTTTATTTCAGCTTGTTTGATTCTACGTTTTAAACATATTCCCCACAGTTTTAAATAGGTTATAAACTTTTTACATTATTAGTTTTATTTGGGATTTTTTTGTACAATATGTTGCTGGTTGCTGTATCAACACGAACATGCATCAGAAATGGAAGCACGAATGGAGAGACCAATAATAAAGAAAATGTGATTGTGAAGACAAGTAATTATTTAATATTTTTCAGTTATTAACACTGACTACATCGAACTGCTGAAGCATGAGACAAACAGGATTACGAACGTAAGAAGATATGTTGTTCTGTTTTGTGGACTCAAGTAATGAGAATAAAATTACGATATTTCAAGAATAGTAGTCGAACAATAACTTTTAAAAATTAGACATTTTCCATAAAACTGCTCATTTCCACTTGCTTTATAATATTAGCATTTGCAATTTTGTTATTAAGGAATGACAAGAAATAAGAATTAACAATAACACAACTATCAATAAATAAATAAATAAAGAGTTACTAAAACAAAAATCTTATTTAACCATTAAAGATTAAACTGTGTTGTGTGTCCATCTTCATGTTTTCATAGTGGCTGAGCGGAGAGCTGACCAGAAACAACGGTGGTGGCAAAACCCAGTTGGGTCTGTGATGGAGTGATGCACGCCTGGAGTGATCGCCATCTCATCCACAGTAAGCACACACTCTCTTTCCATCTTTGTCAGATTTTTAACCTTCAAACTGAGCATGTCACACACCTCTCCTAACACACCTGGTTCCAGTTTAATGGGCTGCATTTGTCTTTGCAGGGTTCTAACATCAGGCAGAGGGATACTCATGTCCTGACGAAGCCTGCAGCCTGTTGAACCCACTGAAAAACAGAGCTGTACGGCCTTTTTGATTGTCTTTTTACTCCATTTATGTTTATGTTTATTCATTTGGCAGACGCTTTTATCCAAAATTAAAACCTATAGGGCATTTAATGCCTCTTGTGTTTTTCATGACTTTTTGACTTTGTATTTCCTCCCTTAGGTTTTCCAGCTGGGTTCCCTGGTTGCATAGCCTGTTCCTTTCTCCTCCTGGCCCTGACGCCGCCTCCTCATGGCTTCCTGGGATGTCCCTCTCTCCTGATACCATCTCATGTCCCCTCTCACTTTCCCTCATCTCATTTGCCTCACTGCTGCTGCTGCTTTCCTCATTCTCTGAAATTATAATGGCACTGTTAAAATAAAGGATAATTTTAAAATAAAATAAATAAAAATATCTTAATAATTCAAAAGATTTGTACCACAGTTTACTTGAGTACAACATGTGTAGTCACTGGTCAGTGGATCAACATGCAGTGGTTCTGCTGTACGTCTCACTGCGGGATCCTTCCTCCTCCTTGGTTCAGGGCGATGAACATACAGCATCAGCCCTGAGTCTCACCTTGCCTTGCCTAGTCTTAATAAACTGTCCCTCCTCAAAATGTGCCTGTAGAGTGGTGTATTAGTTTATTTCCTGCCACATTTAACAGTTTAATTGCAGCATTGTGCAGTTGAGAGCAGAACATGTAGAGCCTTGATAGAAAACATTTGAGAGTGCACATTAAACTCACTGCACACAGCTTTTTGTTATTGTGATCTCTGGTCATGGTGAGGTTGCTCCTGCTGACTTGAGCCAACCATTTTCTTCTTCTCACTGCATCTTTGGGTAAGCCGTAATTCTGATTCCTCCCTCAGACCGATTGCTATATGCAGCGCAGCCAACCATGGTAAGATAATCAACCTATAAAGGGATTATTAAAATACTATTTTTGTACATATAGAAATATTGAACTAAACCAAAAATACAGAGGTGTAAAATTACATTTTAAAATTTTATCCAACCCTAAAATTAGTCATTTCAAATTTTAACCAACGGACACATTTTATTTTAATAATAATCAAAATGAAGTTATTCAAAAGAGTTTCATTAGGTCTTGAGTACATTGCTCATAATTAATGATTCAGCTTATTTGTGCATATGTAATGACTAAACATAATGTTGGTAAAATGCTTCATTAAAAATGTTATTATACATGTTGTACAAGTTTGGTGTTCATTTTTTCACAGTTAGCACTTTTTTATCTACCGTGATGAACCATACAGTTTTACTGAAGTTTTCTTTGTAATTAGTTGCTATAGAAGCCAGACAAACTGGGTTATAGATGCATGTACTGTCTTCACATAAAAATATAAAGTAATGATTGTAAAATGTATTCTACTGAACATAATAGATCATCATTCAAAGCATAAACAGCTACATATTTTCTTCAAGGTAAGCTGGAGCAGAATTCTAGCTTTCAATAAACACTTTAAAATGGATATTACAACTCGAGTTTAGGGCTTCTTGTAGGACTTAAAGTTATTAAATATGCTTATATTAGAGCAGTGTGTTGCATTACTACATCAAATTTATTGCTATAGTATATTATAGTAATGTATGTGCTCTAAATGTGTTCTACAGTGTGTTAGGACTGTCGTGTTCCTGTAATGTAGAACAGTCACGGGTGTTTGTCTTCCTACAAATGCTCGGAAAAATATAAATAGGCTACTTTGTGAAGGAGTTAGGACATAATAAATATATATATATATATATATATATATATGATATATATATATATATATATATATATATATATATATATATATATATATATATATATGATATATATATATATATGATATATAATATTATTCAATAATTACCACAAATCGCCAGGGGAAATGTGATTATATTACATTTTTGTGATTTGTCCCACCACACGCCGTTCAAACGGACTTACAGCGCTGTGGGATGTTTGGAACTGAGAGCTCGATGAACCACATGACCGCGAGTCGGCGAGTTCAAAGAGTGTCATAACTCTCTCTCTCTACAGCTCTGACAGAACCCTGCCCTCCTCTCCCAATGATTGGACAGGAATTCAAGAAACGTGATTGGTAGCTAAGACTAGTGCTCTCATTGGTTCCACCCAAGTACCTCCCACTGACGCTAGAATCGAGACAAAAAGATCCGTTACTGTAGATTTGAGGTTTGTACCTGTAGAATGAAATGTGTGTTTTGAGAGTTTTGATTTCAAACTTGTACCTTGATTTTTTTCAACTTGGAAGTCTGCTAGTTACAAAACAAAAGTTTCATGTTTCTGAATGAATGTTTGATGTTACAAAATGAGTAGTAAATGTACAAAATAAAAGTTTGATTTTACAAAATATAAAATACATGTACAAAATGCAATGTTCCTGTTACAAAACAAGAAATACAAGTATGATGTGAGAATTACAAGTTAGAAAACTAAAGTTACAAGTTACGAATCCAAAGTTACATGTGATGAAACATGTTCGAAGTTACAAAACTTGGTACAAGTTACGCTGAATATTGTCCCAATCCTAGCTCCATAGTAGCTCACCTGGTAAGATGTCTGACTCTCATGCAGAACACCTGGGTTTGATTCTCGATGTGAACATAGTTTGTTTAGAGTTTATTTTTTACATTAATCGTAAGATGCCTAAATTTTTATTTGAGACTCGCCGAACGGCATTGAATTCACAGATAAAAAAAGATGTGGGTTCAACTTTCATTTTGGAACAATTTTTCAAGCAAGGGAAGGGAATGATCTGAGCATGCAGGAGGACTGACCCATCATAAACCTTTGTCGGCTGTGCTGAAGAGAAAGGTACAGAACCAAATTATTTTATTAATTAGCTGTGCGTTCTCCTGTCCTTCGGGCCACACACACACACGCACACACAAGGGACTGTCTCAGCTGTTATTTTCGTTAAGGAGTGTGCACGTACAGCATGCACGCCTCGTGCACGAGCCTACTATTGAAGCTGCCGTTACGCTTTTGGCCTGAGGGGGTAATCGCGAGCATGAAAATTCAAAAGTCCGTAAAGTCCCTTTAATGTTATAATTATTATTATTATTATTAGTAGTAGTAGTAGTAGTAGTATTGTGATACAGGGTTTTATTTTGCCCAATCTCCAAAAAAAAAACATTGGAAGTGCAGTTTTCTTGACATTTTGACCTTGTTTTTTGAAATATTTTACTTTTTTTGTGACATTTCAACCTTTTTTTTTTTTTGCCAAAATATGATGTTTAGAAATAATATTTTAACTCTTCAATGTTCCAATTTTTTGGTCAACATTTTGACTTTTTTTTTTATAAAATTTTTTTTACAAAATGTCAAAGTTATAATCTTGGCTTGTTTCTTTACATTTTTAGGTTCTTACCTTAAGACTTTATTCTAAAGGTAAAATGTTTACCTTTTTCTCAACAGCTAACATTATTTCCTTTCCAATTTGAACTTTGATTTTCAACATTTAACATTTCTCCATTGTTTGCGACACACATGTTGCAGGAAAATTAACTCTTTGTTGAAAATGTTTCTACTTTCCTCTAAAACTATTTAGAATTAAATTTAAAAAATACTTTCTTTTCAACTTTTTAATCTTTGTCTCACAATTTTCATTTTATTCTGGTAATATTTCTTTTTCTTATTGCTTTTCTCTTCCCAGAGGCCCCAGTGTGCCGTTGTGGATTTGCCATAGTGGCCGATTTATTAGATGAATAATTTGGAATGTTGTTTTCTGAATCAAACAAACCAAAACATGGGAAAAAATAGCAAAATCTACTGAAAAAGAGTTTTCATAAAAGTAATCCATTCAGTGACAGCTGGAGAAAAGCATGACGTAATTTTCCAGTAAGAACACGTGTATCTAATGTTTAAGTGTTTGGATTCATACTAAAGAAACGTGGTTCCTCTCATCTGTCACACACACACAAGTGTCGCCCCTAGCCACGCAGCAACACCTTTTATCTCCCTTCACTATAAAGTAACAAAAATCCCTCTCTTTGTCATTAACACACACCCATCCCTAGTGTTTTCTCTCTCTCTGCTTTGTGGAGCACTGATCTGTTTTTAGAGGTTCCTGGAGAGTAAACAATGCTTTTATTACATACTCCTAATTCAAGACTAATTCCTGCTGTGTGGAAGAAACGAGCTGGATCCTGCAAACACCTTTAAAATGCACCGCTGTGCATGCATGTAATTTCACTCATTCCTTCTAACCTTTTTAATGTCAAGAAGCTACAAAATGTCCTAAAAAAGATTTAAATGGAGCATAAAATTGTATTCCAGCTGCTCAACTTGTCAGGGATAGTATTCATGACTGGAAAGTATGCAGTAAGCCCCCCTCTGAAAGTGCATCTCTGGTCTCCAGACTAAAACAAGAGGTGGGGGTAGGGGTGGGGGGGTGCAGGGTGGCGAAGGTCACTTTGATGTGGCTATAAAGACCCACAGCAGGCCAGTGGAAGGAGATGAAAGACACGGAGCAGACGTATATGGGCCCTGGTGGAAAAGCAAAAGATGCCTTCTCCTCTTCTCCCTGCAACATACGGAGGATAATGATGCTGTATCATAAACAAGAGGCAGCCAGGGAATAGAGCAGGAGGCCTGCAATTAAAGTGAGCAAACAACATCTTTAAAACCAGCCATTCTGAGCATGTGCAACACTCATCTCTGACTCAGAATATACTTATTAAGCATTGCAGTTCATCAGCATTTAGGGACAAAGCCATCCACCAGCATTTAATACATTTTCTTGCTTTTGAATCATATTTAACTTGTTGTGACCACATACACATCTGCTAGATGCTGAATGTATTTTCATTATTTAGATGTGAGCATGAGCAGAACTTGGTTTGAAGCGTGTGTCCTGCAGACAGGACTTGGTGCAGTTGCCTGCCCCCATTAGGCTCAGCAGTGTATTGCAGATAGATCCTGACCTGAAGCATTTGACAAACTGGTGTTTAAACCACAAAATGTCCCGTTTCAATAATCGGTAACTACATTTGTTTTAATAGAGGGGGGTATTGTCTTTCTTGCATCCAAATTAAATCTCCATTTCTGCACAGTCGCACTTTATAACACCAGGAATGCGGTTTCTTTGTCAGATAGATGTGTTGATAATTCAGCCATTGTTATTTAATGTAGCAAAGAAGCGCACAGAGGACTAGGTAGAGGATGGGCGAGGCTGACACCAGATGTTTCCATTCGGTCCAGGTAGGCAGCACAGCTCAGCAGAGGTGAGGTTTTGCATAAGCTGGCGGCTGGTGTGTGTGTGTGTGTGTGTGTGTGTGTGTGTGTGTGTGTGTGTGTGTGTGTGTGTGTGTGTGTGTGTGTGTGTGTGTGTGTCAGCGCTTATCTTTTCATTGTGTTTGTCATTCCCAAATTATGATGGAAGGGCCTGATATTGTTCAAGGTGCCATTCCAATGAATACAGAGGAACCTCAAAACACCCACTTTGACCCCTCCAGTCTTGATGCGCCTTCATTGCTTGAGACTCCCCTCCACACACACACACACATACACACTTCAAATTCGCTGATAGGGTCAAGTCAAGCTTATCTTCCACAGATAGATATAAAGCCATGACTGTCAGTGATGAAGATAAGAAAGCTTGGGGGCTCGTCCAGGATCACTCTGCCTGCTGCCAGACGTTCACACAGTTTCAAACCTAGATCCAGCTGAGTGACGGGCAGGGGGTTGGGAGGTGGGGATCACTGAGGGAGCAGAGGAGGTGAAAGAGTGAGATGGAGACGGGGAGGGGAAACAGAGGAGCGTTATAAGTCATGGTGTCAGTCTGTGCAGCAAGTTGTGATAAGAAAGGCAGCTACACACACACACACACACACACACACACAACTGGGGGGTGAAAGCCTCTGTGTTCTTCTCTACTACCCTTGAGTGAACTCAGCCCAGGTGTGCTGAGGTGAGGATTTGGACTGTATGGCAGCCATTTGTCGAATGTGTTTTGGAGGAAATAACTGAGGGAGAGCGGATGTAAGACTAGCTAAAGGACTTTAAATGTTTTAGCTAAGGCTTCACTGCTGTCGTAGCTTAAGTTCCACTCACACGTTCATGTCCCATTGCATTTTTTCATCTCTGTAAGGATGTTTGTGTCATTCAAGTCTGGGCTACCTTTTGTTTGCATGATAAAATGATTTTCTAACCCAATCTGTAGCAAAAAAATTGGAATCTAGTCACAAGAAATTAGCATGTAAACCATTATAAAATCAGGATAATACAAATTTAACATTTTTAACAACAAAAATATATATTTCTATATTTAAATAAAACTCTTTTTTATCCTCATTAACAAATGAACGTATCTGCATTAAAAAGTGTGAGGGAAAGAAATCATAAAGGCTGAATATTTTTTTTTACTAATTTTACCTGAAAGTCTTTGGATGTTATGTTTTCAAAAGCACCTTAATCAGCTGGACAGTCCCATATCATGATAGCACCTTCTCCGTGCTTTACCTTAGGGAAGCTAATTGTTCTTCCTGGTCGAAGTAAATTTATCAAGCAGCTACATTTTCTAACCTATTCTATTCTGGTTTAATCTCTGTTGAACATTATCAAAGAACAGCTGGAGCTCATTTATGAAAGCTTTTGGGAACATAATGTGCTCTACTTCAGATCTTAAGATGCCTTTGTGATATTTTTGTTCTGTTTTCTGCTCCAACCTTCTCAAACTTCAGCTAAGTTTTCCTCTTTACACCTGCTGAGACTTTCTGACACTGATACTAACAGTTGTATGCATTTGCAGGCTCCAGATTTCTCATCGTACATGGGTTTCATGGGTTCATGTACAATGAGAGGTTGTGTGCATCAGAACAGCTGTGTACTGTACGCGTTCCCCAGCGAGTGATAAACACAAACTCACAAGATTCCCTTCGTCTCCCTCACAGGTCAGCCTCCATTAGCCATGCGTTGACCCAATGTTTTGGGGTTCGAGAGCTGATGGTGGTGGGAGGGGGATGTTGACAAATGGAAAAGAAGAGTATCAAATGACCCTTGGGGAGTAGGGAGGTGGAGGGGAGGGGCACAACAGAAAATGACCCACTGTTGCTTGAAGGGGTTTATAGCTGGCTTTTTCCTGATCTCGTCTTGGGTTATCTCAGTGAAAGGGTCAAAGTGGTGCTCACTGAAAAGCGTCAACCATAAAACAAACATGCTTGATCCAGTGTACTGGCTTATGCCAGCGCGGAGGCAGACTAACCAATCACATCGAAGTCTGACAGCTGCCACGCCCTCAGGGTAGAGGTGGGCTCGAAGATGACTGACAAGCTGCGAGGAAGCTGAAAGTTGACGGCATCTAGTCAAGCTGGGGGTGCAGAGCAGCAGAAGATGACAGTGGACTGAAGTGACAGATGGTGACATGTAGACCTGTCACCTTCGTCAAGGACATCCCAGGTCCTTTTTGTCAACAGCATTTACACCCCATAACTTTTCCAAGCCACTGGAAATGAGAAATTCTGTCTTAAGTATGGGGTGCTGGTTCTGAAGTAAAACATATATGTAGCAGTTCATGTTTGCTTAATATTTAGTAGAAGACATGAGTCTTCAACCCTAACTCATATCTTGATTTGAACTTAAGTTATTAGATAACTTCATATAATTGATTTTACGCTAAATATTAAGACTTCTTAATATTTCAGTTTATTTAAGTCTAAATATTTAGGTATAACTTCATGTATTTACATTCAATCCTAAATATTAAGATTTGATTTCATATTTAGGTTTTACTCTAAAGGTTGAGGACTTACAACACAGTCGGCCATCCATGCATTCACACGCTGGTGTTGATGAGCTACAACGTAGCCACAGCTGCCCTGGAGCGCACTGTTAGAAGCATGGCTGCTGGTGCCACCACCAGCAGGCAAGGTAGGTTAAGCGTTTTGCTCAAGGACACAACAGCAGCATTCTCTGGCGGGAGCCGAGAAAGTTTCTAAAACCTTCCCATTACTGGACAACCTGCTCTACCCCCTCAGTTACTGCTGCTCATAACAAACAATTTCTAATTTACCTTGAAATATATATGTATGTATTTATTGTATTCTAAATATTTAGGTATAACTTCACGTATTTATTTTCTATCCTAAATATTGAGGTTTAATTTAATGTATTTTGATTTGACACTAAATGTTAAGGATTTACTGTAATAATGACAAAATTACCGTGAAATATTTAGATTGTTTAAAAAACATTTATTAGGTTAGGGTTAAATTATTTTTAAGACTTATGTTTTTAGACCATTCACTCCTAAATATTAAGGTTTAATTTCCTAAGTTAGGATTAGCTGTAGTGTTCGACACTCATCTTTAACTATGTTATTTAAAATATTTAGCTTTAACCTTTATTTATTTGATCCAAAATCTAAATATTTATGCCTACCTTTTTGCATTTAGATTTTTAAATATTTAGTTTTCCCTTTATACAAGTTTGAATTTCTGTCCAAATATTCAGGCTTAAAAGTCATATAGTGAGGTTTAATTGTGAATATTTAGGTTTAATTTTTAAACATTTTATTGAAGTCCATATATTTAGGCTTAACTTCATACTTTTAGATTTATATTCTAAATATTTAGCTTTATACATTCATGTTTGATCTTGGATGTGAGTTTGTGACTTCATCTCTTGAAGATAAGTGTGACATACACTGTAGCTGTCTTTTGTCCCATATCCAAGCACCTTTTTGTACCTTTAAGAGAATGTGCATGCATCGCCTCCGAAGGTTTCCCATGTGTCCTGACCTTTAGGAATGCACCTGACTGTTCCAAATAAAGATGCCAGCAGGGCAACATGCAGCCATTATGCAGCCCGTCCGCCACATTACAAGGTAATATAAGCCACAGGCAGGGCACATGGGTGGACGCTGCAGAGGCCTTTCTCAGCAGATTATTTTGGGCTCACTACTGTGTCATTACACAGCCTCCCGCTCTCTATTTAGGACTCTGATTGCAGGGCTGAGGTGGGCTCTCCCCTGTAGTGGGCTTTGACATTGGTTTAGTGATTTGATGTGTTTTATGTGGTGACAGGCAGCACCCCTTCACCAAACTCCACTCCCTTTCTCAGATCCAAAACAGCCCCAGGAGAGCTCCGAGATTTTACCATGACAATGGGTTTTATCTATGGAAGAGTTTATATCTGTGGCATCTTTGGAGGAGTGGGGGGAGCGAGTGTGTATATGGGGGAGAGAGAGTGTGTGTGTGTGTGTGAGGAAGGAAGGGAAGCAGGGGAGAAGGGGGCGGAGCCCAGGCGCCGTGACTGTAACGCGATGCTGCCCGGCTCAAAAGAGCGTTCGCTTACACACATGCTGGACACGCAGCGCGCCGGACGCAGGACGCGGAGCCTCGAGCGGGTGTGAGAAGTGCTGCTGCTGCGGGAGGCGGCGTGACATGAGCGCTGCCCTACAGAGGCTTTTATTCATCCCCACCCTGCTACTCGTGCGCCTCTCGATACTCTATCCGGAGCAGAGCCGCAGGAGGAGGAGAAGCACCCGTCGTCTGCGCAAATTACGCATCGGAGCCAGAGATAACGGGGACTCGGGCGGCTTGTGGCGGAACTCGGCGCAGCTTGGAGCCGCTGTCCGGACTCCCCTCAGCGCAGCTGTCGCCGCGAGCCTCGCTGCGCTTCCATCGATCAGGAAGTTTGGCTTCTTCACCAGCGTGGTGGATGATCTTTAGGAGCGGCTTTCCAAAACACTTCAAACAACATTTCTCCGTTTCTTGTCTGACATGTAGCCGGGTAGACGTCTCCGCTTTTGGTGTAAACACACCTCGGGATTGTTTTTATTTAAAGAGGCTCTGTTTTGGACGTTTTTCCAGCGGGTTCTGACCTCCGGCGCGTGAGGATTTGTGCTGTTTTAATCCTGAAAGGTGGAAACACCAGACTCGCAAAACTGTGCAAGTTTTTCGTCTGAAACAAGATGGATTTGGTGTCATCGTGGGCTGGATTTTTATTATTATTGTGCCATGTAGCGCGGAGAGCCAGGGCAGAAAACGGTGAGTTTCTTCATCTTGACGCACGCTCTTCGTATCAGTGCGTTTAAAACGCGATTTACGCACAGATTAACCTTCTTAATCTCTCCAATATGTACATTGTTATGTGGTCCTCGCGCTTTTCTTGTGATTTTCTTGAGTTTCGGTTGATATAAATGTGTTTGGATCTTTAAAATGTGTGAGTTTTTTTAATAAGTGCACGTGTTTCCTCTGGATCGTGGGAATCTTGACTTTTCTGTGATTAAACATTCCCAAACTGATAAAATCCTTCAGTCCCAGCCTCCTCCCGGAGAATATCGTCATTACGAACGGGAAGTATTTGGAAATGAGAACCTCCCCGTGTTTTTCCTTCATCCTGATGGTTAATCAGCGGTAATAAAACAAACTATCCCCTGATCCAAATGCATCTCATGTTGGGGTCAGAAGAGGGGTTTAAACGCGACTTGGAGTAAAAAAACACCCAATTTCATCGCCTCTAAAACTGCGTAAAAGCTTTGTGGTCATTTCAGGATTTGACGCACAGACTCGTCTTTATTAGGATCAAGACTCTAGTTTCTGTTGGTTTTCTTGCTATTTCAGGTTTAGGGGTTGAGTGGCCGTGGGAGAAAACCGCTTCCATGCGACCAGCAGCAATCAATCAGATTTTAGTTAAAGTTGCACAGTATTTAAAATTATACAAGAAATAAAAATCTATTGTGGAGGATTCAGGTCATTTGCGCGCCCTAAAAGCTCAGATTAGTCAACCAGATGGAGCCAAAATGTCCAGAAAGCAGCACATGAAGGTTTTTGCCTATTTTAATTGAACGTTTTCCAAAAAACTGTCCTGATTCTGGGTTTTCTGATCCGGTGGAGCCCTGGTTTACCCGATGGTGTCTGAAGGATGGTTTTCATCAGATCTGATCAAAATAGGCTTGGAGTTGTTGGTGGGAAATGTGATGATGACAAAAGCGCTGCTTACTCACTCAGTAGGAAGGAAACTATTTAGATTTGCGTCCTTTTGCAGATCAGCAACTGTTTTTTCATTTTTGTCTTCTGTGGTTTGTTCCCTTTTCTAGTCGTGGAAGTGTTCGGGCATTGCACCGCCTGCTGACATGCATCTCGCTCGTCTCACTTCCTATTTGCACATCCTCCTCTTTCTGAGCTACTTGTTTTAAATAAGAGTTCCCATCTCTTGAGTGTGTGTTGGCTGTACACGCTCGCTGATCAGAGACAGATGTGAGCCTTTTGGCAGTCAGCGAACACTCTCTGCGTTCTGCCAAGACACAGCAGCACATGTCGCTGCCTCCGCGCTCCCTTTCAGGAGCCACAATGCACCCAGATGCCAGAAGGGGGGGAGAGGATGGCGAGGGCGACTAGAGGAGCCTGACAAAGTAGAGAAACGTGAGCACGGCGACACAAAGCAGCGAGAGCAGTTCGGGGATCGTGCATCAAACAGAGAGGTCAACATCAAAGCGCGAAGGGGTCACCGGACCCAGGGAACACTAAGCCAACCAGGGAACAGGGTGGAATCACTCAGCAGTGATGTCAGTCCAAACTTCTGGGAGTTTGATCAGAAGTTTTTCCACTTCTTTTTTGAAAAAGGTTCTGACTTCATGAAGTTGGAACAAGTTATGATGCTTGTCTGAAGGGTCCCACCTGCTGCCGAGGTGCTCAGAAGAACCATTTCAGATCCACTCCTCCTCAATAATGTGTACATTAATTACAGCCTGCCACTATAATTAATATTCAAGCCATTTAGCAGCTTATTTGCATGTTTATTGAAAGCCTCCTCATTGGTTTTTTGTTTAATCTGAATTTCATCTTCAGAATAAACTCACATTTTGATGCATTTCCTGCAATTTTTTGTCATTTCTCTGCCTTTTGTTATTATCTTTTGATCCAGCGGGCCTCAGAGGTATCAGCCGCCAAAACAAGGTCACGCATTAGCATTCATAGCTGACGACAAACGCTGCGTTTTGGTTCGATACCAGCCAGGTGGGAAAGTCAACGGCCTCAACACAACAGCCTGGAAAGGGTGGAATTAAAAACAAGACCCTGATAAATAAAACAAAGCTTGCTCCTTCAGTCCGTCTCATTAAGACGTAACTTGAGCTCAGGGACAGGGTTTAGAGAGGCTCGGTGGGGGGGCAGCATCATCATTTAGGGTAAAGACTTTTTCCTTTTGAAGGGATTTTTAAATTCTTTACGGCATTCCTGCGACCGAAACATGGAGAGATTTAGTAGAAAGCGTCTGATTGGTGGAGACATGATACTGTACTCAGGATTAACCCCCACAACCTCTGTCCTCTTCCTCCATCTGTTTACTGATTGATCCATTGACGCATTGATCAGGATGAGCGGCTCAGTGCATTTAGCTGATTAGCATGAGTCACTTATCCTGTTAAAGAGGGAGGAGCTGTGAGGGAGCGAGACACGGGGAGGTAAAAGAGGTCATAGAGGTTTTATCTGTTTTTGATGTGGCTCCTAAAAGATCCTCAGCCAAACTCTTTTAGCTGGTAAACAAAACACTGGTATTCCCGTCTGAAGGCAGCTTGCTGCTCATTTGCTTTATCAGTTTTAGTTTTTCACTCAGTTTCATGTATTATTTAATAAAAACTTTAAATTGTTAAGCTCTTGCACACACGATTTTATATACACAGAGGTGCCGATAGGCAGGCCAGGGAACTGTCTGGTCCTCCAGGCCACTAGGAGGCCCCAGAGGGCTGACAAACTTCTCTCAGAATAGTTGCTGAGTCATTATGCAACTTTGGGAGGGTTTTTAGACCAAAAAGAGAATGAAATGAGGATAAATTGCAAACAAATCAATAAATAATTTAGATAAATGTGTTTAAATGCATCTTCTCATGGTTCTGTAGGCTGTTAGAAAGCACAAAGGATGGCAAAACTGTGCAGATCAGATGCAAAACTAGTCTGGAGCTCGTCTCAGATTAGTGCAAGAAATTAAATAGGAGGGGTTGGCGACCATATTGCAAATAAAGTTAAATTAAACAATTTGAGACAGGTTGAAGATGCTAAAGTACAAAGGTACACACGAACAAGCCACATTTCTAGAATCTGTAGCAAACCTCTCATACGTTCCAATTCAGTGTGATTCCAACCCAAAATGAGCACATTTTCTTGCTATTATTTGACTCAAACTTGTGCCAAACACAATTAAACATGAGAATAATTACAATTTATGAAAACCAAGATAGAAAATGCTGCAAAAAACCCTTTTTATTTAGAAATGTCATAATTAACAAAACATTTAATTACAATCACAAATAAGACTAACTAGAAATCATAAAACAGATCTAGAAAATGCTTTTAAGTTATTTTTTTAAACACAGGAAAAGTTTTTTTTACCTTGTTAACAGTTTCCTGCGATCTTCTTCAGAGCTAGCCGCTAATGACGGCGTCACTTCCTTTTCCGTTTATCCGCGGGCAGCAGAGGACGATGTCACCCTCTGCTGCCCGCGCTCTCCTCACCGATGACTCTGTTCCATGCATGATCTGATGTGTGGACCCCCTCGTCTCTGGTCATGGTTCTGTAACCCAGAAGCTAGAACCTTAATGAGGTATTAACTAATTGGCTTACTAATATGATCCATCCTCAATTTAGATAAAATATAAAATATAAATTAAGGAAATTAACAATACTAATTAATAGATATCTAATTAACTAATAGATAATTTCATAATGAATTATTGGAAGGGTGAATAACTAAAATAACGAGTTTAATATTAAACATCGGTTAAAACAAGAATCTTGAACATCCCTAACAGAAACAGAAGAGGAAAGCTGTATACTATTGGTCCAGGTGGGAATCTGAAATTTCATTGGCTGAGAGAAATAAGTCCCGCCTCCGCGAAATAAAACCGTGCGACGCAGCTGAGCGAGAGGAGAGACAAACGGCTGTGCAGCACGCAGATACAGAAAGCAAAGACTGAGCGGTTAGAGAGAGAGAGAGAGAAAAAAAAACAACGGTCGAGGCCGTGAAGAACCCTGATTTGGGTGCCGCATAGATAGAGGGAGAGGCGGACTTGACTCCTTCTAATAAGAGCTAGGAACTTGGAACCAACGCGGTGAGTAAAGAAAAAAGAAGAGAAAAAGCTAACGATGCAACTTAAAAAAAAAAGGGAAACTTAAATAGCTTATCAAATTAATTCCATTCTTATAGATTTGTGTGGAGACGACAGAGTGAACCAATCCTCTGTAGGAGGGAACCGTTGGAGCGCGTTGGTGAGTGAATGAGATTAAATTCAGTAAATTATTAAATTCAAAAAGCTAATTACAGCAACCGAGGTGACAGCAGTGGGCTGCTAGACGTTAGATCCCAGGAGTTAACATCTCAAACTACCAGTTAACGGTGGTAGGGCATATAGGAGTTAACGGCTCAAACCGCCAGTTAACGGCGGTAGGGCATATGGGATTCCCAGGAGTTAACGGCTCAAACCGCCAGTTAATGGTGGTACGGCCTAGATGTACAAGGTCCTCAGGGGCGTTATAGCTAACGCCATAGAATTAGCAATGCGTCCCTTAACCGAACATTTAATAATAAAAAAAATAGATAAATAAAAATAAATAAAAGCTAACTGATTAGGGAGGAATTATTTTACAAAGGTGGACCAAAGGACCAGAATTTATATTTTGTTGAATTTTGTTATAGAACATTTTATTTATTTATTTATTTATTTATTTATTTATTTATTTATTGTGTTACAGATATACAAGGTGTCACAATGCTGTATAGAAACACAACTAAATGTATCCTTGTTGTCATGAATGTATTTCTTGTTGAATAGTGTAGAGTAATAGAATCTAACTGAGCCTATTGAGCTGAACAATTGTTGTCATATGTAATTATATTTCCAGAGCTACTGAGAATTATTTTAATAGACAATCAAATTGATGTTATGTTAGTTGAACTGTGAACCCAAACATGATTGGCTATGCCAATAGAGTGAAGCATTTGTTTAAGTCTGTAAGACTTTATGCTGTGATGTGACGAGAAGGGTCGATG